GAAGATTCAATGTCTTAATTGCTTAAGACATTTTAAAAGACATCATCTATTTTCCGATAGCTAAATTTCTAAGATCGCATTTAGATTTTGGATCTCAAACGTCAACTTTCAGCAGACCTTTCCTCTTCTCCATTCACATCACCATAATAAACACAATTGCTACATATCTTATTCTAAGTGCAAAAGATGGTAAGAAGCCTGCTTAATTCCTCCAGTGCTTCTTCTATATATAAATAGGTCACAATATTGGCTATTGCTGCTACTTGTTACCATTACCACACCTACATTTTGCTCGAGAATCCAAAAGTGTCTGAAAATATCCAAACATCAAGAGGGAAACATGTTGAATGAACCATAAGGAAAAGTAAAATAAGAACATGAACAACATACAAGAACAGGAATAACATATATACCTTGACCTGTTCTTGTAGCTCTCTAATATACTCAACGGCCAAATCCAACATGTCTGCAGTGCTTGTTTGCTGCAAACAAGGAAATATAAAAAACATTGGTTTTCACAAATTTTGTTAACAAGATAGAAATGTAAGTCAGGAATAACATATGTACCTTATCCATGTTTGGGACAAGATCTTGCAGTTTCCGCATTCGCTCACTTATTTTGGTTCTCCTAACCTGAATTTAATCAAAACGAATGAGCAGAAACAAAAGGGTCTCTTGGATTGCAATAAATTGTCACATTACCCTTTCTGCAATGCTTCTGGGATGAGTGGCACAACCCCTCTTGGCCCGGGTCTTACAGGGCACAGAATCCTGGAGTTGCAAGAAGTTCTCAAGAGCAGAAATCTCCACTGACGTTTTTTGCAAGCTTAAGTGGTGAGCCAAAATGGGTGGCGGCCGGTTTCCGGTGTCTACGTTCTGTTCCCGAACAAGAAGAATTAGTATATCAGAAATCCAGAAAACCCGTTTCAAAAACACCAGATTACACAAAAATGCATTCATGCTACCTGAATTTCGGATGAAAGTGTTCTGTCCTCCTCTCCAAGTCTTCTGGTCATATCATCAGACATCATGGTTGATTCCTCCCAAGACCCAGTTGGGAATCCAGTGGAATAACTGTTCTGACGGTTTTCTCTGAATCCTGGATTGTCTAAAGAATTTGGTCCGAGGTTTTTGTTCCTGACTTCTGGAATTGGATTCAGTATAGGAGACAGAGGTGGCCTGTTTGCAGAATGAAACGTTGACTCTATATTTCCAGTCTTCCCACCTTCCAAATCTCCCATGTTTCTCATCACAGCATAGCCTGCCATTTGTTACAAGATTGGTACCATTTTCAGCTTATAATCAAGAAAATTTCTCCATAAATTCCAAAATATCACCCCAAAAAAAATCCAAAAACTGCTTTCTAATTCGAGAATTTGAGATATATAACAAAATTTCCAAAATTATAGGTGGCATAAAAATTTGGAATTACCATGATCAACATGTAGATTGGCGAAGAGACCAGCCGGAGAGCTGCTGTGTCGGATAAGACTGGAATTACCACCGCCGCCGGTTTTCATCGGCGGTGACCGGTCCATACCAATAGAACTAGCCATGGTACACTCCATGGCCGAACTCGAATTCTGATTATGCAGAGACTGTCGACGTTGGCTTTGATAAAAATTCTGCGAAGCAGAGGAATAGTTGCCCTGCTGCAGCTGCATAACCCCTGTTTCACTTTTCATTGACGCCATCATCTGTGTCTGCGGCTCAACCTTCACCTCCACAACTTTTTCTGGAGAATTTTGCCTCGCCGCATCGGAGAAGTTCTCCGTGTTAGCACCGCTGGCTCCGCTACTGGATGATAAAAATCTTGCAAAGATTCGCTCTGTTTCAGGACTAGAAGGCCGGTTGAAAAACTCCTCACAGAAATCTCTGTCCAATAAACTCGAAAACAACGAGCCTGGAGCAGATTGGTAGCGTGTCAACCCTGAATTTATCGGTTTTTGGTTCTGATGCTGCTGGCAATTATCAAGAAGATTGTGAGGATGATGTTGGAAATCTGACTCCATTTCTTCCCCAGCTCTGCTTTTAGATGTGTTGTAAACCCAACTCAGATCAATATTGAATATCAAAAAATCCAAGAGCTAACAAAACCCATCAGGAAACAGAGAGCCAGAGAGCCAAAGTTACAGTTTGTTTCCCAAGAAAGTGTCTCCTAAAAATTTACTCTAGGAACCTAACCAAGCTCCTTGTTAGAGATATATAAGAAGAACACCATCAAAAATCAAATCTCAATTATCGGCTTAAACTGAGAATTAAACTCCTCCTCCTGGAAGAAACAGGGAAAACAGAGGCCTGGAAAACTGATTCTACTGCAATTCTTTACCTGAAGCAGAAGTTAATATCTAATCTGAAAGAAACCCAATTTCACAAACTTGAATCTCAAACACTTTGTTGAAGGATAAGAAGAAAGCATTAAAAGAAGAAAAAACGTAGCCACAAAAGAAAAGGGAATATATCCTGAAAAATAGAGATGGAGAAAGAACAAAAAAAAAAAAGAAAACATAACCAAACTTTCTCTCCACTTTCTGTTTACAATTACTCCACACTCCTATCAGAACATGGGTTGTGAGAAATTCTTTCGTATAGTGCGTAGTCGAAAATTTTGCATTAGAATAAGATATATATCTGATATCCCCGTGATACCACATATTTTTCTTTTTCTTAAAAAAAAAAAAAACAAAAACAAAGACAACAACTTTGCTGAAGCTCTTGTGGCATTGTCATGGCACTGTGAAGAGAATTACAAAAAATTAAAAAAAAATAAAGAGAGAGAGAGAGATGAAGGGCATGTTCGTAAAACTTGTAAATGTTTTAATTTTTTGATATTATTTATATTTAATAAATTAATTTTTTTTAATTTATATTTTTTAATTTCTTTGTAACTTTAAAAAGATTTTAAACCGTAAATTTTAAAAAGTTTCAATTTTTTATTTTTTATAAACTTCTTATTTATTTATTTTT